CTGATTTGAGGGTGGAGAGGGTATTTTCGTCGCAATCTCCGAGAAATTATTCCGCACAAACACTTCGCAGAATATTACAACAATTATTATTCGCACGTTGTGCATAATAGAAATACAAAAGAGTAATTGAAATTAAATCTCTGGATTATCAGAGAATAAAGGGACTTGTTTGTCGGTAGTCACGCGTGTACCGAGTGGAGCGAGCGCGCGCCCCGGCTGACGCGCATTCCGTCAGGTGTGCTGGCACTCGGGCGGTTGCAACGGCGTGGCATTAATATGATACAATAACCGAAAAAATAAATTGACGCTTCTACAAGGTACATTGATTTAATGCACGCCGGACGTAACACCCCCCTCGTTAAGGTCGGAGCAGCATTCTTCAATGTTGCGACGGGAAGCTCGCTGATCCCGTGTTGGCCGGTGCATCGGGTGGGTACAACGGTCCAGGCGTTGCTCGAGTAGGTCCAGCGTCTTCTTGACGGCGTTCAGCTCGCTCGCCAGGCGTGAATCTTTTAGCGGTTGTACCAATGTTTCTATGCGCTCGTTAATAGAAGTTCCATATGTTGACTCGGCTGCGGCTTCGATTAGGTGGGCGCTCCGAAGGGTTCCCGTTCCTTGAGTTCGTGGGTCAAACCCCTGTTCTGGTAGCTCTATTGCATCCGTGTAGGCGTCCGCCACTGTTGATTTGGTTGGAGGGGCGCGCTTCCCGAGGATGGTACGCCCGACCTCGGCAAGGATTGCGATGCTGATGGTTACTCCCAAGAGTATTGCTATTTTTAGGACGGAACTCCTCGGAGGTGGTTTGGCCGTTTCTTCCTCCTTTCGTCCATCAAGTGCAGTTGCGCCGTCAAGAGTGCGGTTACCTTGGGGTTGTCCCCATGTCGCAACTCTCGGGTTCAATAGTTCGGGCGTCGATACATGCCCCAGATGCGGAGTTAGGGTGTGCCACAGATTCCTGAGGCTATATATCGCCGTAGTTTCGGGGTCACAGGCGACCTCCGTGCCCGCGCTGGTGAGTGTGCGTGTCCTTGGGCGCAAGTACATTGGTACTCCGTTGGCGGTGACCGGGAGTTCCTGGAAGCAGGATCCTGTGGGGCGTATTAGTACTGGTACGGGCATGCAGTGGAGAAGATGCGCGGTTTCCCCACGGATGCGGGCCGTGTATCCTGGGGTTCCAGTAACCGCGTACGCGAAAGAATTTGGGTCATTGTAGGCGAGTGAGATCGCTGTGTACAGTTTTAACAATTCTTTCTCGCATTTTCTTATAATAATTTTAGTATTGACTAACTTAGCATTAATATTCTGCGTAACATGAAAATATGGTGAGGCTACTTCTACAAATGAACGCAGTTTATTTACATAGGGTAAGCGATTAGACGCAACAATTTCTCTTATTACTAAACGTGGGTGGTCCATTTGATATGCCGTCGTATTGCACGCGTCATGGCGCGCGTGGGCGAGGAGGGTTAGTTGTTTATTATTGTGTATCATGGAGTAGGCAACCGGGTCGTTGACCGTCCATAGTTTCTCAGCGAGTCCCCTGTACCTTATGGAGTAGTTCGTTACAACCGCTGTGAAATAATGGGGACCAATAATTATAGTAGCCCTCGTCGTCGATGCACCTCAGGTCGTGGTACTTGCACGGCAATGGGACCTTATCGGTAAATAAATCAATATCAATGGGATACCGCTTAAAAGATATGTGTATATATGTCTTAACATTAGTGTTGAAGCTTTGGACCCTTCGCATAGGGGTAGGTGTCTCGTCGGGATTGTTATCCCTCGGAACGAGACGGCTATTTATTACGTTGGGTGCTAGACCGCTGAACGTATTATTTAGGAGATTGACCTTCCCGTCTGTGTGCATTTCTAGGCACGCGGGTAGTTCAATAGGTAGGTAATAACGATTGATTTTTACACGTTTGGACTCGTCATTGGTTTCGTATGTGTCGTCTACTTCTGCTCGGCAGGCCAGCACATCTGCTACAGTGTACCCAGGGCGTTGAAGTAACTCTATGTACACTCGGTGCTGTAGAGGTTCTGCTTCGGTTGCTCCGCATTCGCTTGCGTCGAGCAACAATATGACCGTGCCGTTGGGATATGGCTTTTCGCAGTCGTATCCTAGGAGGGATCCGCCTGAGTGGGCCAGGATGGTTACTGCAAGTATCTCGAGTATCATCAGCAACAACGATATTCATCCTGGTTCGCTAAAGTACGCTTTCTTTAATCGGTTGGTGTGCATCACCCTGGTACAATTTCCTCTTATTTGAAGCTTCACGTTACCGTGGTCAAGTACTTCCACGATAGGATAGGGTCCTACATATTCGCTGTCAAACTTATGAGTTTTATGTTTGTTCAATATTAGTACACTATCGCCTACTCTGAATTGTTCCGGGTTCGCGCCCCTATCGTAGTAGGTTTTTGACCTTCGCTTAGCTCGTTCTAAATTACTCCTGGCAATTCGTTGAATATCGAATATCTCTTTGAATAGTTCTGTTAATTGGTGAGTATACGTCTCGGGACCGTTCTCGCGGTTTACTGCGGACGGTATTCTAGCTGGAGTGCCAAATATTAGCTCGTGCGGGGTAAAGCCAGTCCCTTCGTGGACAGACGTATTGTACGAGAAGCTTGCTCTCTCAATTAGTTCATCCCAGTCTTCCCTCCTTGTAACGAAACATTTTAGGTATTCTACCAGGACAAGATGCGATCGTTCGAGCGATCCATTCGACTGTGGGTGAAATGCGGTGGTGCGCATTTGTTTGATGCGGAATTTCTTTGTGATACTCTTCATTAAATGACTAGTAAAGTTCGTGCCCTGATCAGTGAGAATGCTCTGTGGACATCCGAATCGGCATATAAACTGGTTAACGAAGGCAGTCGCGGTGGTTTCGGCCTTAAAATCTGGTAAGGCAGCGTACACCGAATATTTGGTGAGGAGATCTTGCATCGTTAGGATGTATGCGTTCCCACGTGCCGTCTTGCGGAGCGGGCCGACTATGTCAAGCGCGACCTTATCAAAGGACCGCCCGGGTGTATCGGTAAGCACCATGGGCTGTCTGACTTTCCTTCGCAACAGCTTTTGGATTTGGCAAGTTCTGCATTGTTTGATAAACTCCTGTACTTGCTCCTTCAGATTACTCCAGTAGTACTGTTGTCTAATGCGGTGGTAGGTCTTGGTAACGCCCTTGTGTCCGCCGGCGGTGGATTCATGGCACTCGCGAATAATTTCGGTCCGGTCCTCCGGGGGAGGGATCGTAGTTAAGGAACTTGTGCACACTGTCATTACTATTGATCTTTCGCTGAAAGTGTTTTGAAGACTGGACAATATGCGTGCCCAATCAATGGAATCGATTTTTCTTGTTTTTTGTATGCTGAAGGTGTGCAGGTGAAGTTCGGTCGCTATGTCCAGTAGTGATGCGAAGCATTCGTCGAGAATTTGTTCGTCGATTTTTGCGTTTTGCCTCTCTTTTACGGTCAACGCTATTATGTATCGGCCTGGGCAGGTGGATGGGAGCACTCGTCCTCGTCCGAGCATTAAATTGTCCAGTTCGGGTAGCCTCCCAGTCCTCGACAATTCGCGGGCTCCGTCGTCGAGTGGTTGTCGATTTCCGGCTACCATAATAATTAGATTATCGTTTCGATTGTAGATAGGCGTGGTGACTTCCCTAATGAGGCACTCGCTTCTTAGTGCGGTATCGTATTCGCCGGTTGGGGCGATCTCGAAGTCTGTTTCAATCGAGGCAGTGAGTTCCTCATCACCTATGGTTTCGGTGTCGTCAGTAGAGCCCGAGGCTT